TGGCATCCTTTTTTGAAACTTTTGATGACTGCACTCAAATTTCTTATTCTCGTCTGTACTAGTGACTGCAATGCTTCCTTAGCGCAAAAACGATTGAGGCCAGTTGCTTAACTGAATACACTGCTGTTTAATTAAAAGACATCTTCAGTGAGACAAGAAGAGTTATGAGAGAGAAAAAAAGCTCATGTAAGGCTAACCAAGACTTGCCACCAACGCTTTTTACCAATACTTCGAATATCCATAAAATCGTCGACAACTTGAAAAGCGGTCATCAGCAGAACAGCTGGCTCTGCAGCTAAGCGAACCTAAATCAACAGTACTTCGCACAACAACCATAGAAAGTGCAATTGTTACTGCTTTTAGTGCACTCCCATCTTGTGCCGTCAGAAGTCACGCCCTTTCAGTCCTCAGCAGCTTTGATAATATTTTGATCTCTTTCGCCATATTCATTTACCTACTTACTACTTCCTCCTCCCTTCACACTACCAAACCACTGGGTTTGTGCTTACAGCAAGGGCTGAACTGGAAAGACAGTTTGTTGAGGTTTTCAAAGGAAACAGTAACATACATTCTGCTGCCAGCCTCGACCGAAGTACCACCAAAGATGACATATATCATCGGAAAACCATACACTATCTGAAAATGCAACATAAAACCTAGGTTACGATGCACCACGCTTGCTAGTATGATCATGCGTTTTTGCGTTAAACCTTAAGCCATCATGACATTAGCTGTATAAACAGTTATTTCCTTTTAAGTTGTACATACACTGCCGCACATTACTATAAATTTTGCATAAACAAAAATGAATAATTTTCAGTGACAGGAAGTCATTTGAAAATAACCTATCTGTTCTGATTTCCGAGTTAACAACATTCCCGTGAAAAATTTTACGTACCCTTAGCGTGAGTACTACGCGTACTTGGGAACCAAATTTGGAATCCTTAAGTTGTACGTGGGTTGAACACCCCCTTAAAATTTCAGCTTTCCAGCTTTTCTACCAAGTTAGCAGCGCAGTTCCATACAAATGAATCGACAAAAAATTTGCTACATTGTTGTTCACAAAAAACAAGAAATTACCAAGCCTCTGCAAGAGCTTCATGTTGTTAGCAGAAGG